TTAACACTCTCCACAATAAAAATGATTAATCAACCTCTCATAATTACAAAAAAATGAACAAAATGAAAAATTATGATTGGTTGAATGCGGTTTGCACGGTTTGTACAAATTGAGTGGTTTGCATTTGATCGCTCCTCTATATATATATATATATATATATATATATATATATATAGGGGGCTATTCAAGGGAGAACTGAGTTGTTTGTGGTAATTGTGAGAACCAATATTAACCACAAATCAATAGATAAATTAGGAAATTTATAAATTTGGTAATTTTAAATTAAAATCTTAATGCAAGGATATTTTTGGTATTTTAAAACTCTCATCTCTCCTCTCTTCTCTCTCCGGCCACCGTTCTCCGGCCTGGCCTACAATGCACATTTTTTAAACACAAAATAAGGGTCAGACCTTGAGGTCTAGTGAGACACCCTTTTTTATGCAATTATAGGGTGAAAATTCGCCAAACCTGTTTTAAAATCAACTTTGTAAACATACAAATATAACTCAACTTTTTATAAGACAAAACTCAAATATCATAATTCAATAAGAGTCTATAAATCTTCCTCGTCACACATGGCGTACACTCGCATCACTCTGTGTAAGATTCTCAAAGTCCTCGTATCATATTAAGCGGAGTTACCCAGAGCTCCTCTGGCTCTTAAGTTTGAGCATCACAAAACAAAGCAAACTCATTAAAGGCTTAAATATTGAAGTCTGGATCAACTTGAAACAATTTAAACACATAATATACGCAACCAGAGTTCCTTTGGTCATTTAACTTGAGAAAAGAAATCCTTAGTCAAACCAACCAGAGCTTCTCTAGTCGACCAGAGCCTCTGGTCATACCTACTAGAGCTTTTGATCTCAACATTTAAAACATACAAGGATATGCGGCCAACCAGAGCTCTTAGTCAATGGCTAGAGCTTATGAAAAATAAGAATTGAGTTATACTTAAAAGATTATAGGTTTTAACGATAACCAGAGGCCTTCTAGTTAAATATGAAAGTCAACCAGAGGCTCTACCAAAATATTTAATTATTTTCTCAAGAACTTTAACAAATAATTTAAATAATTTGCCTAGAGACCAAGTCAACTAGAGCCCCCCCTTCTGGTTGAGCTATGCTTTAGGTTCTAAATATCAATAAAGTAACGAGTTTGAAAATGATTTAAGTCCAAAAGATTTTTAGATACAGAGCTCAGATGCATTAGACTTGACATTACATTTCCAAATACAGAGCCTCTGCAAAGTACATACAGAGCCTCTGGGTCGAAGATATAAAAAATAGTTGAACAACTTAGACTTCTCATCACAACCAAAGGCTTTCTGGTTAGACATAAAGACCAACCAAAGCCCCTCTAGATTCTCATCAAACTTTTACCCTTTTGAACAATTTGAAGTATAATATTCAATATCTGAAAAACATTGTTTATTCGAAACATAGGCAATTAAAGCCTCTGGCTATAAGCCATTTTCCTCCTTTGCATAACATCATTGTTATCATATCAATAAGAACAATAATTTCAAGTCTTCATATCATAGAGAAATGATAACTCAGAATCATTGTATCTCATGGATGCGATAACAAGAGTTATGATCAAAACTCAGATTTCACAACTGTCACCCTTACCCATGGTACACATCTTCTTGATATGCCATCCTTATCCCATGGTATACCTCTCCTAGATATGTCACCCTTATCCCATGATACATCTTTTCTTGATATGCCACCCTTATTCCCTTATAAAAACGTAACCAAATTTGTCATTTTTGCCAAGAATAGCCTCAAAACAGTTTCATCACAAAAACTTCATATTAAAAACTTTGATAGTTCGAAACCCAGTTCCATTATCAACTCAAAACAACTTTCAAGTACAATTTCCATATCTCAAACTCAAAACAGCTTCAAACTAGTTTACCTTTCTTAGGAGGCTTTCTGGTTATTAGATGAAAATTTGCATATATGTTGGATTTCAAAAATTACATGTGAAACAAACACATTATGAAACAATGCAAGAAAGTATATATTGCCTAAATGTCACTTCATGTGTCACACGGTTAATTGTGATTCAAGTTGAATATTCCAACACTGATTAATTTGGACATTGACATTGTATGGAGACAACATGAGAAAGCAAGTTGAATATTCAAAAAAGTTAACAAGTCGTTAACAACCTTAAGAAAATAGGAATCTTAAGACTGCAACATTACATAACAGAAACCAGGTGTCATGTAGGTTATCCATATATATTATTCARTGTGTTGATTTGGTATGGTCATAAGTGGCATTTATGCAGTCCACATGTGTGCACAAGCCTTACACCAACCTTACAGTGATGTGAACTTACATTGTCAAAGCATTATCCTACACCAACCTTATAGTCCCTCTGTCTAAAAGAGGAGAAACAATCTGAACTTTGAGAGATCAAATAGATTTTGTTAAAGACATCATCAAAGTTTTTCTATTTTATGTTATGGTATGCATAAAAATATGCCCAAATACAGATGGTGCATTATTTTGGAAAGATACAAGCTTTTATTCAGCTAATATGCTCATTCAGCTTATAACCCTTAAATTGAACAATTTTAGGTTGTTACCAGGACTGTGTTGCTCTCGTTTGAACATATTGATGGCTTTGTATTCATAATCAAGTCCTGTTGGCAAACTACAAACAACAGACTCAAATTAAATACCTGTAATTGAAATGCTTATTAGGAGCGTGTACAAATCAACACAATACGCAATCTCAGGAGAAATAATGAATCAAATAACAAAACCTTTTAAGTTGAGAGCAATACGAACACTAAAAAGAGGAACTGCTCATGAAAAATGAATAGAGTTGCAGCTTCTTTGGCAACTCTTCACCACCAGCCGTCGTCTACACCGTCAAAGTTTAACTAACTCGTTGCCATATAGACATTTAAACAGTGCATTTAACCAAGTTTTTTCATATTGTTAGAAACAGAATATGTTGTTTCCATTTCATCTTATACACACACACACACACACACAGAAACATAAACTCCACTATTGCTGTCCAATTAAATTGATGGAGCTATGCAGCCACTTCAAACATCAAAACCTTCTATGTACAAATACATATGCACAAACACATCAAGATGAATATATATATACACACAGACACATGTAACATGGCTAATGTGTTTTGTTTATGTTTATGTTTCTGTGTGTGTGCATAAAAGCATACATGTGACTGTTTCTATATCTCTCGATATTTATATCTATATACATGTGACTGTTTCTATATCTATCATGGCTACTGTATTGATCCAGAAGTTTGAACCATTCAAACAGTTTACCGTGCACACAGCCATGTAAACAGCAGCAACATATTAGAGGACTTCATATACTAAACCAAACTCATATCTTAATTTAGAGATCTTAATTAGAAATGGTTATGAAAAATGATGAAACTTACTTAAGCAGGGAATGGTTAATTAGACCTCTGGTATCTGCTGTATCTAAATATACA